AGGCCTCAGAGCCTTGTTTGCTGTTATCTTCCGTCCCTCCCCCTCCTGTGCACTATGGGTGTAGGTAACTTTGCAACTTGCCATAGATAACGGGAATTTTCCATTTACCGGAACAACCCGCCCTGTGGTTTTCTCAGTAAACCATGTGCTGCTCACTTCCTTACCTGCTGATTCCCTCCTGCTGTCTATATAAGCTGTGACCTTCTGGCTAATAAACGAGACTTGATCAGAATACTGTCTTGTCTCCATTTCTCGCATCTCTTGTCCCATCCAATTCCCACTCCCCCCTCCAGGGTCTGCATTGAATATCCCGTGGGTCGGGACAAATAAATAAATAAATAAAAGAAGTGGAACTATTAAAAGGAGAGAGAACAACTGTGGTTACTAGAGGTGGGAAAGAGGAGAGGAGAGTGGGATAGAGAGAGGTTGGTTAATGGATACAAAATTACAGCTAGATAGGAAAAATAAGTTCTGTTGGTATATAGTTGACCCAAGAATCTATAATTAACAATGGTTTACTGTATGTTATCAAAGGACTATAAGAGAGGAAATCAAATATTCACAACACAAAGAAATGATTAGTCTTTCCCATGATGACTATGCTAATTACGCTGAATAGATAAACATTGTATACATGTACTGAAATATAAGTCTGTACCCTATAAATATGTACAATTAATATGTTTCAATAAAAAAACTTTTTTTAAAGCTGTGCTTTAAGAAGAATTACCTGGCATCAGAGAAAATCAATTACTAATGTCTAAGAAGTTTACTATCTTCAGCCTATCAAAAAATAAGTAACAGGGGCCGGCCCGGTGGCGCACTGGATAGTGCCCCGCTTGGGAAGCGCAGCGGCGCTCCCGCCCGAGGGTTCGGATCCCACATACAGACCGGTTCCCACTCACTGGCTGAGCGAGGTGCGGGAGCAACACCGAGGGTTGCGATCCCGTTGCTGGTCCCTGGTCCGGTGGGGAGGCAACACTGAGGGTACACGGCAAAAGACAAAAGACAAAAAAAAAAAAAAAAAAAAAAAAAAAAAAAAAAAAAAAAAA